CTTCATTCCATCAAATTATATCACTATTTTCTCATCATATCCTCAATCTCACACCCTTTTACTATTTTTAATATCACCCGCTTTGGAGGTAGGAAGATCATATACTCCGTATATGATATGGAGGGAGTAATAATTTCCCGAATTAAAATCTTATCGTCTCGTGGCTTCGCAATAAATACACACGTGGTACTACGTACACGAAATAAGACCACAATGAGAGTGATTTCTACATTATTTTACACTCCCGATCCCATCCGTATTGACATGCACAAGTTGCTTCGTTCAAGACCAGGTCTAAATGTTTTTTTCCCCTAATCTCAATCTCTATAATTTGAAACTAAACTATTATAAACCATATAAGTATTTTTAATATAATTTGATTTGAGTGTATACTATTATCATATTATGCATGCTCCCTGTACTCAGTGGCGGATCTAGGCATCGGGGGTCAGTGTATGCACAAATTAAATGATAATACAAAAATATGTGTTATTAATTGCGTCGCCACTTGGTTTTATAACAATCACAAAGGTATACATGGACTGATGGACATTGTATTGATAAAAAATTAAAAATTAAAACATCATTATAAATACGAAAATTACAATACAAATTGTAATGTAGATTGTAAAATAAAAATAAGTTTTATAATATCAATATATTGTACTACGTATTATACAATATACTAGCTGAAAATGAAAAAGAAAAAAAAAACTGAAAACTCGTATTTTTTTTGCTATTTTCCTTCCTAATACTCCGTAACAAATTTACTAGTACGAAGTATAATTTTAGCTCAATCAAATGAAAATGTTTCACATGTATAAGTGTATAATATTATATTATTATTATATTTTATTGTTGATATGTAGGTATCTACTTCATAAGACCAAAAAATAAAACTACACTTAGAGGTTTTAATGCTAAATAAATTGAAATTCGAGATCAGAGAATACAAAATGTCAATATATCTTAAAATAATACTCTGTAGTATGGAGTAATAAGGATTTAAACATTTATATTTAGAGAATATAAAAAAGTTGAGTAAAGTATTGGACCAAGTTATTGGAACGTGGAAGTCTCGGGCTCTAGGCTCTCACATACATGCTCTTTAGTTTTGTCACTTGTGAATGAAGTTGCCTATTAAGCTACTCTTTATTAATAATAGACTCCTACAGTACGTTGTATCACCACATAATTGTAGCACTTCAAAAAAAAAAATCACTTGTAGCACGAGTGAGATTCGAACATGGCACCTGAAGCCTAGTAGATACTTATTTCTACCACTACTACCATTCAGGCTAACAACATATTTTGAGGTGAAGCCTATGCTTACCCTAACTATAGTGTACGTCCGCCCCTGCCTGTACTACTCATCTTTTTGCAGTCAAACACATTTTTAGGTACTTGCAGGGAACACTTGATCATGGGATGTGGCTTCAGCTTACTACTGAGGCCACTGGTGTGTTATTGCCTATTCAGATGCTGATTGAACAGGCTGTCCAGATACGTCTCGTTCCACGACTGGTTTTGCGGTATTTTTGGGTCCCAACCTTGTCTCGTGGAAATCCAAAAAGCAGCCTATCGTTTCCAAGTCCTCTACAGAAACAGAGTATCGAGCCCTTTCCAAGTTTTTGGCAATTATATTGTGATGACTGATAATCTCATTAAAATGTTAGTTATATTGTAAAGTTATAATTGTGTATTTACTGATTTAGTTAATGTTGTTAATTTGTTATAATGTAATTTATACAATTATACTCATATTATTTCAATTGTAATTGGCCTAGGTTGTTTGATAAAATATCGCTATGTTACGATATTATACACCGGAACCTAAACAGCCAAGCATTGGTGGTTCTTCATCGAATAATTTAGTTTCTTCATCAGATAATGTCATTCTTAACAATGACAATAATGTTAAAAAGGCTCGAATAGAAGTTGAATTGTCCGATGATGACATTGTTGGCGATTTACGCAACAAGATGGGAGAAAAATACTTGACAGATTGCTTGGTGTGTTACATCGAGAAAGATATATTTGTTAAAATTGAGAATGAAGTCATTATGAAGCGATTTCAGAGAATGGCATCTCGAAGACAAAAATTGTCCCCTCTCAATGAATCTCCTTCATTTGACGCGTCAGGTTCTAATCAAAATTAAGGTATTCTTTAAGTAGTTGTTTTTTTAAATTTTATAGTTTTGTTTATTGCTATATTCATGATGCATATGATTTTTTTTAGTCGTACGCAGTATATGATTTCTTTGTTATTGTGCCCCTGCGAGTCACGAGTCCTGGTTCTGCCACTGCATGCGCGTTGTATCTCTCACACAGTTTGAGGGGGTGTAATAGAATATTATTAAGCATATTTGTTTCCTAATGTGTTTTAAACTCTCCTAGTATATATATATATATATATGTGTGTGTGTGTGTGTGTGTCTATATATATGTGTGTGTGTGTGTGTGTGTGTGTGTATATATATATATATATATATATATATATATATATGTATACACACACATGTTAGGACTCCTATTGGAGCACCTTTTCCCAAAATATTCACATCTATGGGGGTGTTTGGATCTGATTCTCAAAACTGATTCTGCTCCTTCAGGGAGCAGAAGCAGAAGCTGGAGTGTTTGGGTGAAATTCCAGAAGCACTTCTGGAGCTGTAATTTACTCTCAGAATCAATTTTTTTAGAAGCTGGGAGGTAGCAGCTTCTGAAAAATGATTCTGATTCTGCTTCTGCTTTTAAAAAGGAAGGAGAAGCAGAATCAGTTCCAAACACCCCCTATGTCGTCCTCCGCCGAACACCGGCATCCCTCATATGGCTCATCGATGACCGAGGCCAACGCCTGACCTCAGTCCGAATTAGTGAAGCCGAAGCTCCCGTCGGCGGTCATCTCACTACTTCAGTACTTCCATAACCAATGTCGATCAGACCTCCATGGCCAGCACCTCCGCGGTATCCGCCGCTGCCCTGCTCCATAGCCACCACGAATTGACCTCAAAATTTGTATCCATTAATGGATGAATCGAGGGAGAGAAGCTCTAAAATGGTGAAACCTTCCATAACCACTGATTCCCAGCCCCATATAAGCTTAGTGGAGACCTGCAACGAAGGAAAGGAGCTTAGGAGCTGAATGACGAGTCAAAGAAGAAAAAACGGAGAAAAAATAAAAAGAAAATAAAAAGAAAAACTCAAAAAATAGAATATCATAAGAAATGCCACCGGACATCCAAATAAGTTAATTATACCGTACAATCGACTATACGGTGAGCACCGTACAACCAGGTATTTTTGAAATTAAATACACTTCCAGCTTGAATCGTAGAGTTGCTCCCTGCTTTCCTTCTATTTTCTGTTGTTTCCTTCCGTTTCTTTCTTTCTCTATGTTGTTTGCGGTTCCTGATTTTGTTTTGTTTTTATTTTTTGTTTTGTTTTTTCCTTACGTTTCTCTTGCTTGTTACTTCTTGTTCTTCTCGTTTCTTTTTTCTTTTTTAGTTTTTTTTTGCTCGAAGAGGGCTTAATTCATAGAAATAACATTCAGCAAGGGTACAGAAACATAAAAGAACCACATGTAACTATCCGTCCGTGGCCGAGACTGAGAGTTAACCACCTGTACAAAAGCAGTATAACTCGCTAGACCAAATTTGGGCAACTTAAAGCCAATGACGGTTACCGCAGAACTTCCATCCCCCAAACCTAATGCAAGCAAATAATAAATTAAAATACTGCTTCCAAAACCCTAGACTCTCTTGCACTCCATGGCGGTGGTTCAGGAGGGGGACGGTCCAACAGTACTGAAACATCTTCCGCTCCTTGCCTCCGATCCAGATCTGATCCAACCCCTAGCCCCACGCTTCGTCCATAACCTTTTGATCTCCACCATGAACGACATTCTCGAACCTCTCTACCTGCTACTAGGGATACACAACCTTTGGCCATCAATCCTGCTCCGTCTGTTCGCCCGAGTCCCAGCCGAGACCAAGCCCTGCTCCTTCTGTTCATCTGAGTTCAAGCCGCGATTGAGACTGCCGAAACGAGAACCCAATCCTCTGCCTTCATTCGCCTTCACCACTTCGATAAGCACCGATCTTCGTAAAAACGAAATCGGAATTCAAAACCCCAGCGGCCGTAACCCTAGAGAGCGACGAAGATTTTAGAGAGAGAAGCTCTCGACTCCGGTTTCCAAGTTTTGATAGTTGAAAATAGTTTTTTTCTTTTTTAGTTTAACAATCCTTTTGCTTATATTCAATTAAATTGAAAATCTAAAATATAAAATATTATTTAATGTTGAAGTTTCTTTTTCAATTAACCCTCTGACTTATTTTTTTTAATTTATGTATTTTAAAATATTTTAGATTTTAATACATTTATGTGTTTGCGGAGTAAGTGTGATCACGTCTGCTTCCATGGCTCTCGCAACCTCTTCATCACAATGAGTTTTATGTTAAATTCAAATAAGTATAACTCCTACACATAAAAATTGTGAGATAAAAATGGGATCCATGCGTAATTGTGAAATATTTCCTAATTTATTTTCATTTTCATTTTTTTATATCACTTTTAACCAACTTTTCATCAACTTTTCCTCCACGAATCCCATATAAGGTCCATATATGGACCTTGTCATAAACTTTGGTCCATTTTTACCTATGTTTAAAAAACCGACCCGACCCGGCCGGGTTGACCCGGAACCCGATGACCCGGACAAAAAACCGGTTCAGTTTTTTCAAAACCTGGTCAAAAACCGGAAAAACTCGGCTGACCCGGGAAAACCCGATCAAGACCCGGACCCAAGAAACCCGAAAAAACCCGGTAAAACCCAGTTTTTGGGTGTTTTTACCCAAAAAAAAAGTAATTTCTTTTTTATTTTTAATGCATTTTTTATACCAATAAAATTTCAATTTCAATACCTTAAAAAGAAAAATTACGTAATATATTTATATATTTATTTAATAATGAACATCATGCCAAATTATAATATAGATATACAATAAAAATAAAAATATCATTATATATTTTTATAAGATCAAAATATGCATTGAAATATTATAAGAGTGTATTAAATGCTTAATAAGTAGTATTGTTAGTTGATTATTATGAATAATAACTAATTTTATATATAATTATATGTTTACTATTATTATATAGACGTATAATCATTGACCGGTTTTCCGGCGTTGACCGGGTTGACCCACCGGGTCCGAGTTGACCCGTGACCCAGTCATGTGGCCGGGTCACTCTCCGGTCCGGTTTTTACAACATAGATTTTTACCCCTATCTCTATCATCTTTTTCATTTTTCCTAGGCAACGCTTCATCCAAATACTCCCTCCGTCCCAGAAAATTCTTCCTAGTTTGACTTGGATCGGAGTTTAAGAAAGTGGGAATAAAGTGGAAATGTGTGGTTGTAGTTGTGTAAGAAAAAGGTGAAATGAATGTGAGCCACACAAATAATCAAAAAGGTGAAGTTGGAAGAATTTTCTGGGACGTCCCAAAAAGGAAAGTTGGAAGAATTTTATGGGACGGGGGAGTATCTCTCTACATAATGATCTTGATCTGTATATAACAGAGCATATGCGAACCCATCAATTTCATTCACAGAAACACGAGGAAAACAGAATCAGAAAAACCTGTCCACAGGTAGGTAGAGAATGGGGAGTGACGAAAAGAGAGGAAGCTATGGAGCTCACATACTTGCAGTTCCATATCCAAGCCAAGGCCACATTAATCCCATGCTCCAGTTCTGCAAGCGTCTCGTCTCCAAAGGTCAAAAAGCCACCATAGCCATCACCACGTTCCTGTCCAACTCCCTCAAACCGGTTTCCGACACCGTCGGGATCGACACGTTCTCCGACGGCTGCGACGAATCCGGATTCGCGCAGGCCGCCGACGCCGACGACTACCTGAACCGGCTCGTGGTGACCGGTTCGAAGACCCTGGACGAACTGATCCAGAAGTACAAAAACTCCGGTTCTCCGATTGACTGTGTCGTTTATGACTCGTTTCTGCCCTGGGCGGCGGAAGTGGCCAAGAAATATGAGGGATTGTATACGGCTAGCTTTTTCACCCAGGCATGTTCGGTGACTTATGTGTATTATGCCGTGAACCATGGGATGTTGCCGGTGCCGGTGACTTCGACGCCGGTGAGACTTCCGGGTCTGCTGCCGCTGGAGCTGCCGGACATGCCGTCATTCATTTACCAGTACGGATCTCGTCCCGCTTATTTTAAGCTTCTGATGCAGCAGTTTCTGAATCTGGAAAAGGCGGATTTTGTTCTTATTAACTCGTTCCTCAGCTTGGAGGCAGAGGTAAAATTTACTTCAGATTTGATCATCATTAATCATTATTGCCTGCTTTGATACAAAAGTTACCTTTCCAATAAAATTGGATAAAATTGAAAAGGCACTTTTAAAGTTTCTTAAAATTCATTTTTAAATTTTCTTTTCGAAAGTTCCCTATGAACTTTCCTGCTTTGGTTGTCCTTTGCAACTTTCCTACTTTGGTTGTCCAAAAATTTTGACATGTTAGTGCGTTCCCATTAAAATAACTAATTTGTGGTTCTATTTATTTCTCTCTTCTCTGCACAAACGTCAATCACACTATTTTTACCATTCTTATTTCCCACCTAATTCAAAGAGTTCAAAATCCATTGGAACGGATGTAGTATTAAATTTGGTAAAATTAGTGTGGTTCTAAATCATTCTTATTTTATTCTTAATTTATCAAACCAATATCAATCGCATAAACTCACTACTACCTTCGTCCCATTTACATTGACCCGGAAGAGGGTGACACGGTTATTAAGAAAAGTGGGTTTGTGTGGTTGATATTAATTGATAAAGTAAGAATAAAGTAAGAATGATTTAGAGCCACACAAACTTTGCCAAATATGGTATGAAATAATTTAAGTGGGACTTCCCGAAAAGGTAAAACAAGACAATATAAATGGGACGGATGGAGTATTTTTTAATAATTGTGTCACTCTCTCCGCCTCTCGTGTCCCAATATTAGTGAGACAAATGTAATATCTTGGTACATGCTACGGTACCCATAAAAATGAGATATCATACATATACCGAGTAACACATAAAGAGTATATTGATTAAATCATAATTTCATCATTTATTTATACACATACATATTTAATTGATTTATATGGACACGTAGGATAACTTGAGTAAGATAGAATTTGACTCGTTAAAATGTGTTTTCACAGAGCAACTGCTAACTTTAACTCATTGATTCTAAATTTGCTCGAAGACAGAGAGAGAATGGTTTACTTTTCCTCTTTTGGTATTTATCTATAGCTAAGACGCAATCTCCATGACTCCATACTGAGACAGTGAGACACCGAGTCATTTTCAGTCAAATTCAATTATTAAAACTTCATACCAATGATGGATGCAGTTAGATTTTTTTAAAAAAGGAGAGAAATTAAAATGATTTATTAAGGATGAAATATATTACCCAAAAAAAAAAAAGGATGAAATATATACGTAGTATATACACATACTTAGAAGTAGTTCAAGATCTTAATATATCGCGTTACTATTAATTCATATTTAACGGTGTGGAGAATGCTTGAATATCCCTCATCACAACCAATCACTTCATCAAAGTCACGACGTCAATTATTTGTTCATTAGTTCATGTTCATCAGTATCATTTTTTATAATTGTGTCATCATTTTTCATCGGGGTCCCACACAATGATTATGAATTGGATTCACTCTGATACTATGTTAAAATTCTACTATGTTAAAATTCGGAGTTAGGGGATCATACTTCACCAGTTCAATGGTATGAGAAAAACTTCAATAAGAATACTACCTTTATCACATTTTAACTTTAATACAAGAGAAATTACACAAATAATAGTAAAATGTAATTATATACTCCATATGTCCCTGAAAGATCTTCCATTTCGCTTTTCGGGTGTCAACTTAAATCATTCTTAATCTTTTACTTTATATATAAAAAAATTGAATTATTTTTTGCAGATTTTGTAGTGATTTTAATGTAATTTCTGAATATGTAAATTTATTTACTAAAAATATTCTGAGTTTTCACATGAATCATTTAACTTTATTGTTGATCAAATTTCGTAAACCGTAATTGGAAGAACAAGCAGGACAGAGGGGGTATATAGTTTGGTAGTTTCTATGGTACCCATAAGGTACCATACATTTGTCCACATGGACCAATGAAAATGTAGCAGTTGAATTATTTAAATCTAAATTAAAATTGATAAAGTGATGTGGTCCAGTCAAATGAATGCTAGGTACGGTACCCCTGTTTTTAGAAAGATACGGAGTTGTCACCATATAATTTATGTGAACTGTGAAGATCGAAAAATGAAAAAGAAAACATGTGAGAGAAGTCTATCCCATACTTTGGATTTGTACGTATATAATTCCAACACGATGGTTTGATTGGTTTCATGAGGGACGGTCCTTATTAATTCGTTTCATGACGTCAATTATTTGTTGATTAGTTCATCATTATCATTTTTTATTTTTTATAATTGTATCATCATTTTTCATCGGGGTTCCACATAATGATTATGAATTGGATTCACTTTGATACTATGTTAAAATTCGGAGTTACGGGATCATACTTCACTAGTTCAATGGTATGAGAAAAACTTCAATAAGAGTACTTACTACCTTTATCACATTTTAGCTTTAATACAAGAGAAATTACACAACTAATAATAAAATGTAATTATATACTCCACGTGTCCCTGAAAGATCTTCCATTTCGCCTTTCGGGTGTCAACTTAAATCATTCTTAATCTTTTACTTTATATATAAAAAAATTGAATTATTTTTTGCACATTTTGTAGCGATTTTGATGTAGTTTCTGAATATGTCAATTTATTTACTAAAAATATTCTGAGTTTTCACATGAATCATTTAACTTTATTGTTGATCAAACTTCGTAAATCGTAATTGGAAGAACAAGCAGGACAGAGGGGTATATAGTTTATGTGAACTGTGAAGATCGAAAAATGAAAAAGAAAACATGTGAGAGAAGTCTATCCCATGATGGTTTGGATTTGTACGTATATAATTCCAACACGATGGTTTGATTGGTTTCATGAGGGACGGTCCTTATTAATTCGTTTTTATTAACCGTGTGAATATAACTAATAACAGTGACACAAGTAGTATGTGGACAGAAAATATTAGAGTAAAGCATTACTTTAACATGCATGAACCGTTGTGGTACGTATTTTGCTTTAATGTGACATACAATGGTTGATGGCACATTAATTACACTGACCAGATTTATTTTTAGAGAAAATACAATTTAGAATAGAAATCTTGATTATTTTTCTCTTCAATATCGTAATACTATAATAAAAAAACAATTCATTTTTTTATTCTGTAATTTTGTCTATTAAATTGTTGTCCTAAATTCCTAATGAAATGTATACATCTTCCTCTGTTCATAATTATTGATGTGCGAAGAAATAACTACAAGGTTAATTTAGAATAGAGTTATTCATTTCTTGTATTTTATAAAATTATTATTAACAATTAAGTTTTTTTTTTTGAGAATTAAGGTTATATATTTAGAAGAAATATATTAAGGTTTTAACAATTATTAATAAAAATTAAGGTTATATATTTAGAAAGTGGAAGAAATATACGGATTAGTAGAGATTTTCTTTACATATATGACTAAATTGAAGCCCATTTTCAAAATGCCATGCACTACGCCTACATATGTTAAAATGTGAGAACCACCGTATGTTTATGTGTAATAAATTTTGAAAAACGTGAGAACCACCGTATGTTTTATGTGTCACTAGGAGATGTCAATGTCGACGTGAACATGCTAGTCTAATCGTTTTTTTGACTAAAATTTAGTTAGATAAATAACCAATAAAAGTTTAGAGTATGAGTCAATTGACAAAAAAAACTGATAACCGTCATCCCTCGAACCAGAATTGGAATTAATCGTTGTAGCAATATAATTCGCTGATCCATAATCGGGAAACAAAAAGCCTAACTCGGTTACCAAATTCCTCTCATCCCCACATACAAAACCAATGTCTTACAAACCAGAAGAAGAAACGAGAAACAAATCCATAATCGTTGAAAAAAATCTAATGACTCTTTTTGGCGATTTATCAGAAAAATTGAAAAGAAAAAAACAAAACTATCAAAAAATGTCTGTCAACTGCTCACTTTTTTAACAATAATGAGAATAAATTTGGATCAATTGCATAAAAAATTAGTCATGACTCTGAATAATGGTACCTGATCACTTTTTATTTTTATTTTTTATATTTTATTTTGAAATACTCACTTTTTATTTTAAAAAGTTAGACATAATATTTGTATCCTTTTCTCAAATATAGTCACTCCTTTGGATTGTGCCCGCAGGTATTGGAAGCAATGTCCAAAACGACTCAATTTCTCACTATTGGGCCGACAATCCCATCTTTCTACTTAGACAACCGGGTCGAAAACGACACCGACTATGGGCTCAACTTATTTCCCTTGGACCCGTCAACGAGCTGCGTTGACTGGCTAAACACCAAACCCGAAGGATCAGTCATTTACGTGTCATTCGGAAGCATGGCCGACCTAGACGAGAAACAGATGGAAGAGCTTGCATGGGGCTTAAAGAACAGCAACATTCCCTTCCTATGGGTGGTCAGGCGCTCCGAAGAGTCAAAGCTGCCGAAAGGGTTCATCGACGGTGAGCTGGTCGTGGGCCGAGGCGGGGCAGACCAGGCCGCGGCGTCGGGCCTGGTCGTGAACTGGTGCCCTCAGCTAAAAGTGCTAGCGAATAAAGCCGTGGGGTGTTTCTTCACTCACGGTGGGTGGAACTCGACTATTGAAGCTTTGAGCATAGGGGTGCCGATGGTGGTCATGCCGCAGTGGACGGACCAGACGATGAACGCCAAGCTGGTGGTTGACATGTGGAAGGTCGGGAGGAGGGTTAGGGTTGGGGAGGATGGGTTGGTCAGTAGAGAAGAAGTAGAGGGATGTGTTAGGGAGGTGCTGGACGAGGTAAAGGGTAAGGAAATGAAGGAAAATGCTGTGGAGTGGAGTCGTTTGGCTAAGGAGGCACTGAGTGAAGGTGGGACTTCTGATCAAGTTATTGAACAATTCTTATCAGCATTGACGACCACATCTTAGTTTTTTTTTTTTTTTTTTGCATTTTCAATCTTTGTGTGGCATATATGTGCTTTGCATGCATTATTTATGTGTAATTATTGTTTGAGAAGAATAAGAATTGCTTAAGGTAAAAGCAAACATTAATAAGTTCAAAAATCAAATAAGGTACATTGGTATTACCTCCGTTCTTTTGTAGTTGCAATATTGGTGAATTTAAAGCTATTCACACTCTGTTTTGACTACGTTTTACTTATTAATGTATTATAAATTATTATTTTAAAAAAAATTGCTAAACTTCTCTCGTTTTAAATTTTCAAAAATCTAGATTTTTTAATTTTTTATTAATAACAGATGAAAGATATTAATGATCATATTTGTGCGTTGGAAAACGTGAAAAGTGGATTGTTGAATTATAAGAGAATGGAGGAAGTGTAACTTTTGTACGTACTCCGATCGATTTGAATGAATATATTGTGTATGTTTTAGTGCTATTTAGAGTTTTTTGGCATTTTCCTGGAAATATTACTAAATGAAATTCAAAAGACAAAAATATGACTTATTTTAAAATTTTCTAAAAAGTAACATATTCAGTGACTCGCCATTTGCTAGTGACTTGTAACTGCGAAATACATTATAGAGTCGTTTAGTTACTCATATATAGTAACTGGACATATGTTTGTCCAAAAACATGACTAGTTATATTTTTTGTCCGGGGATCCTCTATATTATAGTAATATACATGTTGATAGAGTATATAGACCCGAATCTCGATTCTCATGACTATTGGGCCTAGACAACGGCCCACACATGCTATCGGATGTCATTTGTATTATCGTACAGTTCATTATCATTTGTATCTGCTAGATTAGCCTTTTATATAATTGGATATGTCGGGCCCATATTAGCGGCTCAGCTCGTTATTTCTCTATTTATACTCCTCTTGGAGCTTCTTGTAAACCTAGAATCAATATTACACATGCAATACTACTATTCATCTTCTTCTCTACTAATTAATTAGTTCAAGTCTCCATTTTATATACTTTGGATACCCTATTATCCATCACATGTCATTTTTCATAAAACAATACAAAGATATTAAAAGAGGAGCGATGATGGGGAAACCCTAACCACATCCTAGCTCCTCTTCATTTCTTCTTTCCTTTCAATCTTTTTGGGTGCAATTATGAAAAGGATTACGTTAAAATCAGCTTATTCAATTCTATTTATACATTTACTTACTATCGTTGTCTAGAAATGTTATCTTCAGTGACTAAGTGTCGCTCGCTAGATGTATTCTCTGTCATCATTGGTCGAGTGTTCTTATGTGTTAGTATGAGATTTGTATTGGCTTCTTCCTCAATCATGAATGTGAATTTCTTATAAAAGAAAAGAAGTAAGGCTAGAATAGACTAAACTGGACTATTAAGGATGCGGAGGATATAAGCCTTCTTTCAAAAGGAAGATGGTTGAAAGGGTCCCAACAAAGACTTTTGATCGTTCATCAATGAGGCAGATTGCCCCCTCCCGAACTTCGTCGTTTCTGGAAGATGAGGTTGCATGGATTGCTTTCTCTCTGGTGGCTGGTGAAACCAAAACAATTTTTGCACTTTGCTCTTTACCGGTGGATGGCAAAGCTGGTAAGTTTAACCGTTTCTTTTCGGTGGCTCCTCAAATCGGACATATTTCGAGTAGCATGAGTCGTCAAATCGGACATATTTCCTAACATGGTTGCAATGTTAGGAACATGAACACTTTTATAGGGTTTTTCTATTCTTTATCTCACCTTTGTGTAGCATTGAATGATATAATTGTAATAATTTGATTGTTGATGGTTACAGGGACGGAGCCAAGACTTAGTCATGGGGGGTGGGGGGTGGGGGGGGGGGGTTAAGAAGAAACACAAACAATAAAAAAATCTAAGTAGAACTGAAACAAAATTAAAGTTCATAAATAGGATTATAAATTTTTTATTCTCAAAATAGGACTTATTCACCCCCATTTTGGCAAACTTTAATCAAATTATTTTTAATAGGACTAAACAATATCTACCTAACAAAACTATTTTGTCTTATTTTTAATCATATATATGTAATTATTTCATGAGCAATGGTCCTGTCAAAATTACCTGATCCGGCCGCCTATGTTTGAGGTGCTTCAAGATGGATTTTTTGATGAAATTTTGTGAAAATGTTTTTCACGATGTGTAGATTATTTAATTTACATCAAATTTAAGTTTAAAATGCAATAAGGAAGTCAATTAAATAAATTATTAAAAAAACATTGCGTCAATGTATATATAGAACAATGCAGTGTTTTTCCATAACTTTTTTTATTGATTTCTCGATTGAATTTTAAGCTAAACTTTGGTGAAAATAATCTACTCTACATGAAAAATATGCACACAAAATTTATCAAAAAAAATTACCCGAAAGCATCTCAAATTGAGGCTTCTATCTAATAATTCTGACCTAAATTTTTCTGATTATTGCATATCTATTACCCTTATACTATTGAAAAATAAAAATGTTGGGGGTAGGCCAAGGCCCTCCTTACCCCTCTATGTACCTCCATCCCTGGATTTTTTTTTAATCGAAAAAGCCCATGCCACATACGGAGATTAAAACAACAAATTCTAACAGGGAAAACCCAAATTCCCAAAGTCCAAATAGCATTCGGTCGGCACCCCAAAAGCCTGCTGCTCAACTGCCCTGTGAACCGGGTCTTGTCGCAGTATACGATAATTCAGAAAAGGGGAAACGGGTCCCCAGGCTAGCAATGCACAAAAACTGTAGTGCACAAGATGCTGAAACCTGAAAGTAGGTGGGCCGCCCCTTACTGTCCCGGCCCCCCAATAGTTATGTTTATGTTTATGTTTCATGTTATTGGAATTGACGAGCATTACTCGGTCGGCACCTCTATCCCTGGATAATTATGTTTATGTTTCATGTTACCTTTATCAATATACTCCAGTAATTAAATTATTATCTTTAAAATTAGACGCATACATAATGATTTGTGTAAGAAGAAAGTTATGATCTAGTTAAAATACCAGGCCCGAAGCTCACCGTCAATTTTTTTTAGTGGAAATTACCCGGGAGGTCTATTCTCTATAAACTTCTATCAATAATGTCCGTACTACTTTTCCTTTTCATACTCCCTCCGATTCAAAAACAAATTCCACTACGGTTTACGATGCTTGACTGACGATAAAGCAACTCAATCCCTGTTCACACTCAGATTATCTTTAGTAAATAAAATTTACATATTAAGAAACTACATTAAAACCGCTACAAAGCCTGATCAAGTAAATTTCAATTTGATAAAAATTTGATATATATAATAAAAGATTAGGAGTAACTTAAGTTGACCAATGAATAGTAAAGTGGAACTTGTTTTTGAATTAGAGGGAGTATTTAACTTTTATATTTTCACTTTTGGTTTTTTATTTCAATTTTCAACCGTTTCCTGACAACGTTCTCCACCAATACGAATTTCCTTCCACCGCACCTCTTTCTTCCCGCTTCCTCTTTTCTTCTTCTCCGATTCATCTTTTCTCACTCGTTATCTTCACCATAATGTCGACTGCAAATACTCCTACTCGTGTTACGAGATCTTCTTCTTGGCTTAATATGGATGGCTTAATATCGTCACAGTGCTTCTGCTTCCCCTGTTCGTTCTAGAAGTCCGAACTTCGCTCGTAAGAAGAGAAAAAACGAAAATGCTCCAAAGCCTCGCAAGAAAGCCAAAGTTTCTGTCAATGTTCAATTGGAGAAGTCTGGTAAATCTGTTAAGGAACAAAAAATTAACAAATATCCTTCGACATTTAAGGTACTTAATCCGCTTTTGTTATATTTGCAGTGCTTGTTCTCTTTTGCATGTGTACTCTTTGTTCTTGTATTTGAATTTGTTTTTGTTTACTTTTGTTTATTCAATTTTAATTTTGTTATTTTTTTTAAACCAGGAGTGACAGTATTTTGTTCCATGTGAATCGTGGTTTAACAGTAGGGTTTGTACTTTTAGCAAGAATTGCATTACTGTAAATCTTAAGGACAAGATGAATGATGTGCAATTGGGATTATTTAGGGAAACCTGCTTTGGTAAATTGTTGGATTTTCAAGACCTTAAATTGCAGCCTCAACTTTTGCACTGTTTTCTTTTGCGTGAAATTAGTCACAGTATTCCGAAGGAGATCTGGTTTGATGTTTCTGGCTTTCGTTTGCATTTTTCCATTGTTGAATTTGCTGTTGTAACTAGTTTGAAGTGTAGTGGTGAATTTGATACTTCTACTATTCCTTCATCAGATAGTAATTCACTTATCAAAAAGTATTTCAACAGTTGTTCTAAAGTTACTCGTGAAGATATTGAAACTTGTTTTCTTGGTCAAAAGGCTGATTGTGATGAAGATGCAGTTAAAATTGCTATTCTGTATGTCCTTGGTTTGTTCTTCTTGACTTCATCTAAGCATAAGGTCATAAGTGAAACCTATTTGGCTGTTGTTGATTCTGGTTTATGGGATTCCTATCCTTGGGGGAAAGACCTTTTTGATGTGACATTACAGAACTTGAAGGGCAGACTTGTTGGAGCAGATGATCGATTCGGAAAGTGATTATTTCTTTTATCGTATTTTACGATTTCCTCTTGTTCTTCAGGTCTGGTTTTATGAGTGTTGTGGTTATTGCGATGATGTGTTTGCTTCTAGATCTGTTTCTACTATTCCCCGAATGTGTCCTTGGCATTCTTCCATTGCACACACTTTCAAGAAGTTGAATATGGAACTTCTTTCTTTATCTGCCTCTCAGTTTATTGTCTTACTTTTGTTTTCATTATTACTTTTGTGTTTTTATTATGATTTTATTCCATTTAATTTATTTTCTTTTTTTATTAGTTGAAGTTGCACAATGTTGAACTTACTGCCCTTGAAAGTGAATCACCTGAGTTGCATGCTATTTTTTCATCTCATCCACTGAGGCCCCAAAATATGTCATCTGTTTCAAATGCTGGGGAGGGAACTAGTTCTTCTTTTGATGGTGTATTTTCGAACTCTGTTCTACTGGATTTTGAAAACCGACTTGACACCAAACTTCTTGCTTTCAAGGAATTTGTTCAGGACAAGTTTACTGATCTAGAACACAAGCTTGACCGTGTTATTTCACTTTCCCATGTTCAATCTTCCAAACACACAAATTCTGGTTTTGTCTCTCCTGAAAAAAAAAAATCAACCTGTAGAAGAA